TTATTTCAGAATATTTGTATGGGTTCCATAAATTTTGTTTCTGTTTTTAAGGATGGCAGTTCTCTCTGTTGTTTGCCCAAAAATAGTGTAACTTGATACTCCTTGCCTCTCCTGTCAGTATACTAGGATACCATTACTTCTTTCCCCTTGGATTTAACAGGCTGAATTATACTAAATTATTTTAGCTGTCATAATTCATTATTTTTTAGAGAAATGATAGGGATTTGGCCCTATTAACCTGTTACAGGTAAGAAACTTAGTCTCTTGATTTTCTTCTTGATGCTTGCTGAAATTACTGCACATTATCATCTTTACCAGTTTGGTGGATTTTCTTTCCCAACAGAGGAACTTTACTATTGGGCATTGTATTAGTTTCCATGGCTGCTGTAACAAATTACCATGAACTTGGTGGCTTAAAACAGTACAGATTTATTCTCTTACAGGAGGCCACAAGTCCAAAATTATTTTCACTGGGCCAAAATCAAGGTGTCAACAAAACTATGCTCACTCCAGAGGCTTTAAAGAGGAATCTGTTTCTAGCTTTTTTTCACCTGGTTGTCAGTCTTATTACTTGCCTGGTAGCCACATCACTCCAATCTTTAAGACCAGCATCTTCAAATTTCTGTATGCTCTGTCTTCATATCATCTTCTCTCTCTCTGTCAGATCTTCCCCTGCCTCTCTCTTCGAAGGACATGTGAGTTCATTTAGAGGTCTCTTGATAATCCAGGATTCTCTCTCCATCTCAAGATTCTTAACTTAATCACGTCTGCAAAGACCTTTTTTTTTTTTTTCCAAATAAGGTAACATTTATAGGATTAGGACCTGATATCTTTGGGAGTTATTATTCAGCCTACTAGGTATCATTCTGTTTTGCTACTTTAGAGTGAGGCAGACATTTTACTCAAAATTGGATTAGCATAAAGCCTCATAGATTCTGCTGTTTGTTAGAATTACACATAAATTGCCCTCTTTACTGAATCATGCAAACTCTGATGCCATGGTGGAAAAGTATATGAATGGAATTGGATGTGGTCAATAAGGGACTCTGGAGAACCTATGTTCTTCTGGGGAGAGGAAATATGTGACGGTCAAATTCGGGTTATTAGCTTGTAGTCCTAGTTTGTAGCTGCTTTTTTCTTCTTTGTTCTTACAGGCTGGTCTTGCTGTAGTAAAATAATTGTGTGTGTCTCTTATAATCTTGGTATTGAGAATAAGAATTTTTTTTTTTTAATGGGAATTTCATCCATGTGATTTTAAAGTATTACTTTACTAATGATGTTTACTTAGGTATTTCTAGAACTTATTCTTCTCACTTAATGTTTTATACATTTCTCAGAACAAGGCAATTGACAGATAATCAGGGTTGCTTCTTTATTTATGAGGAAAGTTAGACATTAAGCCAAAGGACTTATCCAGCATCACATATTGAATAGACCTATAACTTTTAACTTTAATCTTGTGATAACAGGTATTTCCATTTTTTCGATGTTTCATATGTACTTTGAAGTTGATGTGTCTTGTGACATGAAAGAAGTGTCTATTATTAAATTGGATAGTTGGGCAATTCTAAGTTCTTTTGTGTTCATGATTTTGTTTTTCTAGATGTGTTATTTTTAAGAATTCAGGTTACTTCTTTTTTTTTTTATCGTGTTATTAAACTAATGAAAAGCCATATAGAGATGAACTTGGTTTTGAAATATAATGAGTAGATACTTGCTTGGCTGGAATTTTTTCTCAGAGACACAAAGTTTTATAAAGAGGGTATGAATGTATACTTTGTATCCAGGAATGTGTGTTCACTAGGGGGAGTGTTGGGGGAACTAGAGTAGAAGACATTTTAAGACACACGGGAGGCCAGTGTGGTGGCTCAGGCCTATAATCCAAGCACTTTGGGAGGCCAAGGCAGGGGGATCACTTGAGGTCAGGAGTTTGAGACCAGTGTGGCCAACATGGTGAAATCCTGTCTCTACTTAAAATACAAAATAATAAGCTGGGCATGGTGGTAACATGCCTGTAATCCCAGGTACTCAGGAGGCTGAGGCACAGAATCACTTGAATCCAGGAGCTGAGATCATACTGCTGCATCTCAGCCTGGGCGACAGAGTGAGACTCTGTCACAAAAAAAAAAAAAAAGAACACAGAAGACACAAAGTATACACTCGTACTCTCTTTATATCCATACCCCTTATCAGTTTGGGTGATTATGTTATTCTAGTTTCATGAACCTTTACTCTTAGAACTTGGTTTATTCTCTAATACCTTTTAGGATTCAGTTTTGCAGTTGAGATACCAATTTGATACTCTTTCCTTTTATGATTGCCCATAGTTTTTGTCTAGAATCTTACATTATAGTATTTTGTTTTCCTTGCATTTCTATAGTTGTGGGTAACTAGGAGTGGGTTTTTAGTAATTAATTCAGTGAGCTTAATTTTGAAAAGGCTTCTACTGAGGAACACTTTCTTTGATGATAGCTTCCCTGTTTTCACCTTCAGAAAGTCTTATTTTTTTATATGCATATTTATTTTTTGGGTGCAATCTCTTTGTTAGTGAATTTTTATTTGCATCTGATTTTTTGAGTTTATTTATTCAGCAAATATTTATTAATGGTCTACTGTATACTCCGCTAGGGGAGTTGACCTAAGGAACTCAAAGGAGGGTTCTTTGAAGAATCGATGCTGGAGTTGAGATCTCAAGAATGAATAGAAATTAACTAAGACGTGAGAATAGCTGTTAAGGTACGGAAAGTAGAATTTGTTTATATATTTGGAGGAAGGAAGTATGATGAGTAGTAGGTACTGTAAGAAAACCCTTGTGGTTGGAGTAGAAAATGTAGGGGAAGGGACAGTATGAAGTGTGATGAGGCTGGAGAAGGTAGGTGGGGGATTGACTACCCAGGGCGTTCCTGTGAGTCATATTAAATAGCAGTTCTTTATCTACCACCTCCCCCTGCCTGCAGTGGAAAGCGATTGAGAAACTTGTAGTATGGAAGTGCTCCATCTTCTGCCTTAGGCATTCCATCTAATCTTTTCCACCAGTTTGCAGCCTTACTGTGCTTCAGAATCACATATGAAAATTTAAAAATCATAGTTAACCTAGGTTCCAACCCTACTCTGGAAATTCTTATTGGAAATATTTATTTTTCAAAAAGTCCGCAGATAATTGCGTTGCACAGCCATGGCAGAGACCCATTTTCTCAGTGGTTAATGATGCTTTAGAGTCAGGCCGACTTGAATCAGAGCCCTGATTCCTTTAAACTTATTAGTTGAGTGATCTTGGCCAAGTTCTTTAATCTTGACTAAGGTTCTTCATCTATAAATTGGAGATAATATTATTACCTACCTTAGAGAGTTGTTGAGGAGATTAAATGAAGTAATGCTTGTAAAACACTTACCAGAGGGACTTAGAATGCTTCTTAAACATTGTCAGGTAATAAGGTGTCATTATTACGTTATCCTTTATCCAATCAAAATACTCACCCTTGTAGTGTATATCAACTTGATGTCAGAATAATAATCTGATAAATATCAGCGTAAGGGATGGATGATAGCTAGTTTTCATTACTTAACCTTCTGTTAGTTGAACTGTTCTAGGAGGCAGAGGAGTAGGCAGATGGTTTTATCGTGCAAATCAGCCCATCTTTTCTGCCTGTGTATCAATTTGGACCTACAAGGAAAATGAAGGGGAAAAACAAATGTTTTTCTTTCCTTTCTAGGGGAATTTTCTTCTTGCCCTTTTTCTCCCAGTTTTCTTTCTGAGCTGAGTATCATTAGCATCATCAGTACCCTAGTCTTAAAGCTGCATAGTGATTTACCTAGATAATTTTCTCCACCATTATTCTCTGCTGCCTAACTCATCTTCACCTCCATTAAATCTCTGTTCATCATGCTATCCTTCTTTTGGATTGCCTTTAGTTCAGTTGTGACTTACTTGATTACTTGAACTCAGGTCTTGACATTTCTAAGCTGTTGTTAAGGGCAAAGGTAAATTCTGACCAGCTGTCTTTCTGCCTTGTGTGGGCCCTTTCTAGACCAGAGGGTGTTAACTTTTGAGTATTGGGAAACCATTAGATTTGCTGAGCCTTCAGCCTTGTCAGCAGGGCTACTATCACTAGACCCTTTGATCTTCTTTGCTATTTATACCTAATGGTCATAAAATATAATAATAATGGTACATGGTATTACTATTTGATTAATAGATTACTATTAGTAATTTTGTTTTATATATTTTATATATATATATATAGAGAGAGAGTATACTTTGTTATGTGTATATATATAATTGCTTGCAACTTGAAATTTTAGGCTAGAGGATTTATAGTAATGTAAGAACTTACTGGCTTTATCAAAGACTGAAAAACTTCATGGAAAAGGTTTACTTAAAAGGAATAGGTATACTTTTTTCTATAAGTAGAGAGGAGAGGCAGGGGATTCCAGTTAAGGAAACTGACATGAGCAAACGCTTAAAGGAAGGAACATGCAAATTTGGAGCATTGTGAGTAGATTATTTTTTATATTTTCAGAGCGTTCATGCAGTGGGAATAAAACTAGGGAGTTTGGAATCAAGCTAAGAAATTCCTAAGTGTTCAACCAAGATATTTGAATTAGTAGTTTTTGTTTTTTTGGTATGTCATGAATTTGTTTGGCTTTTCTTGATTGATATGCATACAACTTAGTCCTGAGATTACAAATGTTCATTGTATCATTAAACACTTAGCCTGGTTCTTTGATGGCCACTGCCAATTCTCCTTTCTCCCTTCTCCACTTTATTCCAGTGCGTTAGTGTTTTTCTGCCTTTTTGTCTATTGTGATCTGTGCTTCATCAGGCCTTCCCCAGTTCTTCCTTGTTAATCTCCAAATTCCAAATCAGCAACACGATGAATGTCTGCTTATCACAAAAGTTGTGAATTCCTGTGTATCTCTTTCACTTATTAAAAAGATTGTTTGGTACATGTTTTGTTTATAAGACAGTTATTGACTTTCCTGTTTCTCTTCCTTTGCAGACCTAGAGGATCAAGACATAATGGGAGCATTTTTAGACAAGCCAAAGATGGAAAAGCATAATGCCCAGGGGCAGGGTAATGGGTTGCGATATGGGCTAAGCAGCATGCAAGGTTGGCGTGTTGAAATGGAGGATGCACATACGGCTGTGATCGGTTTGCCAAGTGGACTTGAATCGTGGTCATTCTTTGCTGTATATGATGGGCATGCTGGTTCTCAGGTTGCCAAATACTGCTGTGAGCATTTGTTAGATCACATCACCAATAACCAGGATTTTAAAGGGTCTTCAGGAGCACCTTCTGTGGAAAATGTAAAGAATGGAATCAGAACAGGTTTTCTGGAGATTGATGAACACATGAGAGTTATGTCAGAGAAGAAACATGGTACAGATAGAAGTGGGTCAACAGCTGTAGGTGTCTTAATTTCTCCCCAACATACTTATTTCATTAACTGTGGAGACTCAAGAGGTTTACTTTGTAGGAACAGGAAAGTTCATTTCTTCACACAAGATCACAAACCAAGTAATCCGCTGGAAAAAGAACGAATTCAGAATGCAGGTGGCTCTGTAATGATTCAGCGTGTGAATGGCTCTCTGGCTGTATCAAGGGCCCTTGGGGATTTTGATTACAAATGTGTCCATGGAAAAGGTCCTACTGAGCAGCTTGTCTCACCAGAGCCTGAAGTCCATGATATTGAAAGATCTGAAGAAGATGATCAGTTCATTATCCTTGCATGTGATGGTATCTGGGATGTTATGGGAAATGAAGAGCTCTGTGATTTTGTAAGATCCAGACTCGAAGTCACTGATGACCTTGAGAAAGTTTGCAATGAAGTAGTCGACACCTGTTTGTATAAGGTAGCTAGACATTTTTTTTAAAAGCAGAATTATTTTATGTCATATTAGTCACTACTATAATATTTAATCATCTTAGAATCTGTAATTCTGAAAACTAAGTTTTTGGCACAATTGTAGAATACTGTTCACCAGTTATGACTATATCATAGGAACACTTGTGTAGAAGTAAATTACCCAGTTACCATCTCTGCAAGAGTTACAAGCTGAATGTTTAATCTTACTACTTGAGCTTTGTAATAATGTGGAAGATTATCAGAGGTAAAAAGATTTTTATCAGAGTGCATGTTTTGAAAGAAAGAGGGTGGGGAGGGTTAGGCCTTAGTGTCTATAAATGGAAAGCATTTTAGAGTTTTAATGTTTCTACCATGTGATATCTCAGTACATTTATGATATCCTAGTACTTTGAAACTAAGGTTTAATGGGTCTGTAGCACTAAGAAGACTATAGTGACCATTAGACCTGATGTAATAGAAATAGCCTTGTACATGGAGTCAGAAGAACTTGATATGAGACTGTGTATAGTTTTAGGTAAGCTATTTAAATTCTGGATAATCAGTTTCTTTCATTATAAAAAGGGTAAGATATTATCTTGTCTCATGGGGTTGTTAGGAGGATCAAATGGGATAATATACATAGGTGAGCTAGCTCAGCCCCTTTATTATACAGATGAGGAAGCTGAAGCCAGAGAAGGTTCCACAGACTTAAAAGTCAGACAGACTTGAGGCTTACCGCCATTACTTTGGTATTCCACATGCCTGAACAAATTGTTCAATACCTCTCAGCTTTAAAATGGAGGTATTACTATCTCATAGGACTGTTGAGGAATTAAATTAATTAGCATATATATATAATGCCTAGTTTAGCGTATAATACATGCTGTATCCTTTTCTAGAGATATTACAAATGACTTTTACAGGGTTTTATAACATTGGTAGCAGCATTAAGACTAGAAAATCAAGGCCCTTGACTTGGGTTCAGTGTTCTTTCTGCCACACTTTTGTTCTGTTTTGTCAATAATGCTTATTAACTTATTCTTTGATTTTTTTTTTTAAACAAATGTTGACTTTATAAAATTCTTCTGAGGGTATAAAATTGAACTCAAGTATTTTAATTACAGCATTTTGAATACTTAGATTCTTTAAAAATAAATGTAGTTTCTAAAAGTTGTCAGTTTTTTAAATTATACAAGTTAAAAGCTGGTTTATAAACCTTACATGTAGTTTTACCCCTTATTTCATATTTCTACTTATAAAGCAAATGCATGAACCCTACAATATATAATTTATTTTAAATATAATTTTATCAGGTATCTGTAACTACAGGTCAAATCCTATTATAAACAGACACTAAAATTTTCCATCGTGTTGTATGGAATGAATGTGTGTGTACATGTGTGTTTGTGTTAGGTATCACTTCAAATTAAGTCATCAGTAAATGGTTAGAAATAGTATTGTTTTATAGACTTATACAAAATTATTATGACAGTGAGATTTAATCTGTAATGTTTCTCTCCTATCTTTTGGAGTATTGGTTATACTGTATTCTCTCTACTGTTGGGTCATTGCACACATGCACGCGCGTGCATGTATGTTTTTTCTCCCTAAAAGTAACATTGTCACTAGAAAAGTGTAACTGTAATTGGCACAGCTATAAAGGTTCTCAAGGATTTGAAGAACAAAAACTAAAATATTCTCAAATTTTTTTCTTCCCAGGGAAGTCGAGACAACATGAGTGTGATTTTGATCTGTTTTCCAAATGCACCCAAAGTATCGCCAGAAGCAGTGAAGAAGGAGGCAGAGTTGGACAAGTACCTGGAATGCAGAGTAGAAGGTGGATCATTTAACAAAAAATAAGTAGCTTTATTAAAGAAAAATCTTCAACACAATCAAACTTTAACATTTTAGCTTTTAGATTTTTATGTGTCTTTGACATCTAGTGTTTAGTGTACAAACGTGGAAAAGGACATTTCTGTAGTAGCTGTAAAGATGTATGCAGTTGTCCTATCACAGTTATATTAGAAGTAACAACTAGTGTGGAAAGAACCTATGTTCTGTTCAGGATACTTCTGTTTTAAAAAGCTAAAATGTTTGTGTGCTCTAAAATTCTTGATGAATTCACTGGCATGAGTAACTTTTATGCCAGGAAAATCTGAGTTGTGGTTTATTTAATTACAGAGATTGTGATGGTGATAATTTGAATACCATCTTTCTATGAAAAGCTGTGTATATTTTTAATCTCTAGGGCCTTTTCTCAATGACTTGAAAATCACAGCCTCATCATTAGCAACGTTATATACACAGCTTTAAAAAATTTGCTCTAAACTGTTTCAGAGCTTCTTAACTAAGCCATAAACTGTCTCACCTAAACAAGATAGACCTCAATAGAAGACATAGTATTTCTCTATGTGGCAGAAATGTAACTGCTGAGTAAGATTAAGAAATAAGTTGAGGATTTCTGGAGTATATTTCTCATAATTCTGCAGAGACTTCAATTTATTACATATATTCAGTAAGTGTGCAGTTTCTGTAAGCAGAAAACTTGGCATGACTTTATTAGTGTTAAAATGTGAAAATGCTGCACTGAGGTAGAAAAAATATAAGAAAAAATTAAATTTAAAAAATAGTATTAAAATGCATTTTAGGCTCTTAATGTTAATTTGCACGTTAAAGACCTCTAATTGCATGCTAGTATTGACCTTATATCCCACCGATATCCCACTGTGATTGCATTATTAAATTTACTGTTCACTTTAATTTAAATTTACTATCACACCTACATCCCACTGTGCCTGCATTATTAAAATTACTATTCACTTTAATTTTGTTTTTTCCCTTTTTACTGTTTGATACCAATCATAATCAGTCTGATACTGGAGTCATGATTGGTTTTGTTCTTTAGTACTGTCTAGAGCTACTATTTTGTTTTTATTGCCATCTCCCACTTGATAGTGATACATCTATTTTTTTGTTTGTTTGTTTTTGTTTTTGAGATGGGGTTTCGTTCTTGTTACCCAGGCTGGAGTGCAATGGCACGATCTTGGCTCACTGCAACCTCCACCTCCTGGGTTCAGGCAATTCTCCTGCCTCAGCCTCCTGAGTAGCTGGGATTACAGGCACGTGCCACCATGTCAAGCTAATTTTTTGTATTTTTAGTAAAGACAGGGTTTCACCATGTTGACCAGGATAGTCTTGATCTCTTGACCTCGTGATCCACCTGCCTCGGCCTCCCAAAGTGCTGGGATTACAGGCGTGAGCCTGGCCTACATCTACTATTTGTTTGTACTATTTAGTATTGCATTCATTGGACGTGCTATTCAATGAGTTTGTCTCCTTAACTGTTACCAAGAGTCTTGGAATTTTTATATTTTAAATTAATCATTCAATATTTATAGGTAAAATTTTAAAATATTTAGAATGCTACAGTCATTGGTTCAAACTGTTGATTAGTGGAAAAATACAAATTCATAAGAATAATATGTGTAGGGATAAGTTGATATTTAATGTATTGGCACTTTAACTTGGGCAGACATGTTTTCTTCTTGGTCTAAAGAAATAAGTATTTTAATATTTTTACTATGAAATGGGATCCAGTTTTAGAAATTAATTGCTACTTTTCTCTTTAGTGTATACTCTTTAAGTTTTAGATGGAATTATGAAATACTTCACATAATTTTGTTATAATACTAAGTTTTATATTTCTTACTATCAAACAAGAGTTGCCACCTGGACAGAGTTTACATTGATATTCAATACTTTTGATATGTTAAAGTGTTATACTTGTACCATTCAGTTGGAGATTGTCATAAATATGCTATTTTTTACTCAGATTTGATGAGACTGCAAATAGAGAATAAATATTACATAAAAAATGCTATTTTAAAACATAGAATGTAACTGTTTGTATTGTAAAAGTTGTTGTATGTCCTCAGTGAAAAATACTGCCTTCAGCTTCCAGAGCAGGCACCGGAATGCCTTTTTCTTTTCTCTCTCTCTCTTTCTTTAAATACATGCCTTCACTAGATTGCTGTGACCTACTAAACCTCATTTTATTTGCCTGGAACATTTTTGGCCTTCTCTGTCCACACCGTAGAAAAGGACAAAGGCCTTCTAGCTCTCCTTTTTCTCTTATTTGTTCCTTTCTAAATACTTGACTCTCTGGGGGCGTGAAAAGATTCAGCTCATAATTTATAGTACTATTAATTTTGTGGTCCTTCTAAGCCAATTTAAAATTATACTTTTGTGTATATATTTTGAAAATCTTTGCTACCAACTACCTTAGCTTTAAAGTTGCTGATTTGGAGATGCCTGATAGAATCCCTGAAACTTGGCAGAGGGGATTGGAAAGGAGCAGAATGCGTTTGTTTATATGTATATGAAACATGAATCTTCTGTACATAAATATTCTTTAGAAAAAGCATTCAGTCTTTTTACAATTTCAAGTAAAACGTATAGACCAATAGAAATTAAAGGAAAATTTCTTAAAATTCATTTTCTTTTTTGAAAGCAGATAGAAGCAAGGCTAGTATAGTATAAATGGTCAGGTAGTTTAAATGCGTTGTCCCACGTGAAATAGGAGATATTAACTGTTTTTAAAGCTTTACATTTTTTTTTAAAGAATTTGTTTTCCTGTAATTTTCTTCACAGTTAAAATATCCTAATTTATATTTAACAAGAGATGTAAGATACATCGAATATAGATGATTCAAAGTAATGTTTTTTAGACCTGAAACCATCATTGATTCAATTTATCATCAGTGTTTATTTCTATTGTATTTAGTTATCTATCCAAATAATTGTATTGGCTTAGCAGAGACTGTATGTTAAGTGTATTAGTTTTAGATTGTAAAATTGTGCAGTTCAGGTAAACATCAAATCCCTTTATTTTTGTACAGCAGATTTCCAGCATTAGAACCATGTAGAACAAATATATACTAGATGTTAAAGATTACACAATAAAGGAACTTGGCAAACCAAATCTGAGATCCTTGCTTTTTGTTCAGATTTAAGACTGTTTTTTTTAAAGGCAAAAAATAATAGATGGTAAAAATTTGGCCTTTATTCTGAAAGAATAGTTTGAACCATTTAAAGGAAATATTACGGGTAGCCATGCCTGTCTTTAAAAATGTTGAGGCTTGATCAGAATCTTTATGTGCATTGTTATTTTCTAAGGTATTTATAAATTGAGAAGAGAATAATGATTTCTTACCCCAGTAATGACAAACACAATACCATTTCTTACTGGAAACATTGAAAAACAAAAACTGAACAAAACTTGAACATATAACTTACAAATACTTTTGGCTTGAATTTGCATGTCTCAGAGTATGTGCTAAAACTGCAATTGAAGCCTTTTTGTACTTAGAGTGAGTAGTTTTAGAGTTCTTTGTAAGGTTCTTCCTTCATAATTTTTTCTATTCTGTGATGTGAATAACAGTATGCATCTGCATGACAACACTGCAGATCATATTGCTGTGCCCTTTTAATAACTGGATGTTTTAAAATTCTTTTAAATGCAGTTGTATGGTTTATCAGATCTTTTTTTAAACATGAAGAAATTTAGACCTTTTCTACTCAAGGCTTTGTTCAAGTAATGAAGGAATGGTATTACATATCTATACAGTATATTGTTTAAAGATACTTTAGAGAAGAATGAAGCTGAGACAGTGATGTTCAAGTACATAACCTAATCTCTGCATGCTATTTAAGTATCATTTTGCAAATATAAATATATACATAAAAACAATTGGGTTAGTATATCATCTATAAATTCCCCCATACTTAAGGGTTATTCTTTTCAGATCTTGAAATCCCTTATTTTTAAAAAATCTATGCTGTGTATTATATAGGGCAAAGGTCAGGAAACATGTTTTCAGTCTAAAGAGAGGAGTGATGTAGGAAGTAACTAGTTGACATCTTAAAGGATATTCTCATTTGTGCACACATATCCTTGATTATATAATATGCTGATTTAACATGAAATATTTTTTCACATTTTAATTTTGATTTGAAGTTAATCTTATGTGCTATTTTGTTTTCTAAATCTTCAAAGATCAACTTGTTTTGTTTTTTTTTTTTTTTAATGATACCAGATTAGAAAAAACCTCAGGTGTGGTAAATGCCATCTTTCAAAAGCTAGGTTATCTTTGTTTCGGTTTTCTTTTTAATTAAATTTGGATAACACTTACAAAAAAAGTACTTCTGATTCCCAGAAATCATAAAGAAGCAGGGGGAAGGCGTCCCCGACTTAGTCCATGTGATGCGCACATTAGCGAGTGAGAACATCCCCAGCCTCCCACCAGGGGGTGAATTGGCAAGCAAGTAAGTTACATTCTGTATACTTTTAGCTTTATGTCAGTGTATGAAAATGTTAGGTGTTCATCAATCAAATGTGTTTACCTAATTTTCTAAACTGATGCAGTTGTCTGTGTTTTAACCCGTGATTTCAATGTTATTTTTTTAGTATTAGAATATCTAGAGCTTGTTTAGACTTAGGTATCAGAATATCATTGTTTATGACTGATTGCAGTGAGGATTTTCTTTAGTGGAAGCTTGGTTGACATTGATTTCCTTAAAGAGCATAAATGAGATAAAATACTGAAATAACTTTTTAAACTAAATTACATACGACTACATAAAAATTTACAAAATGCTGAGTGTCATTGTTATTAATAGTAGTATAATTTGATTTTGTCAATCCCTGAGTAACTTAACACCCTGAAAATTCTCTTTTCCTTCGTATAGGCCAGTTTCTGTATCTGATTTTCCCAGTGTTTTTGGTTGTTGATTGCTGGTTAGTTGGTTATAGGTGTCAGGGAAGAAGGTAAAATACATTTCTTATCTTTTCCCTTTCCACTTAAAGTTCATAGAATTGGACTACTTGGTGTTAAATAGTAAGCTTACATCTTTACATGATAAAGTGGAAAATTCTCAAGCAATTCAAAGGCTTAAAATATTTTTACCTCAAACATCACATAATTGACCTACAAACATAAAACTTACAAACACCTTTGGCTTGAATTTGGATATAGAGTAAATGTGCTAAAACTACAAGTGAAGGCTTCTTGTACTAAGAGTGAAGATATATTATTGACTGATTTTTTGATTCTCTACTGTGTTTTGCAAGTGTGACCATGTTCTTTGTAGTCATTAAATAGTGATTGTAAAAGTTCCTGTTTGAAGCTTTTGTTTTTTGAAAACATTTTTTCCATATGACTTTCTATGAAATAATGATCTATAAAATTGCTTCAAAAAATTTTGGAAGTAGGGAGACTATCACTTGTAAATACACTACAGATGTTTAATAAAAGGTTACTTAAAAACTAATTCCTAGACGTGTCCTGGAAATGTCTTATTTGACATTTGAGTTTTAATAGAACTTTTAAAAAGGGCATTAAGAAAAGTGGAAGCTTAAGTATGAAGTATAATCTGAATTATTTTACTAACATGTTGAAGTTACTTCTACTTCAAAACGATGCAGCTCTTAACTAGTTTATGTTAGTGTATCTTGAGAAGGCATCGCTGTTGCAGACTCATAACCATTTAACCAGTTTAAACAGAAGTAGACTATATAGACTTTTTTTTTAAATATGTAATTTTTAGCCTGTTGGTAGAGTGTTATAATACATTTTAGACTAAATTCACCTTTAACATAGGGGCCCAAATATCTTAAAGTGAGGCTCACTGTTGACAGCAAGAAATAGAACTAAAATACTTTCTAAGATTATTTTTGGAATTTTAATGAACACCTGGCTATGAGTTATTAATGTTTTGCTTTCTGAAGAATTAATTTTCTGCATTTTTTTTAAAACTTAGGAGGAATGTTATTGAAGCCGTTTACAATAGACTGAATCCTTATAAAAATGATGACACTGTAAGTAGCATTTTAGCTCCCTCTGCTTTCTCTTCCCCTTCACTCTGAATGCATATCCTTCCTGTTTTTGCAGAGCTGTTCACTGTATCCATTCTCTTACACACACCCCTTATTGATTGCTCTGAACTCTGCTTGCCCTGATCTCTGCCTGCACCACAGTTCTAGTAATTGAGGACATAACCATGGTGAGTGGCCACCTCTCTCAAAAAAGAAGAAAGTCCTTTTGAATTATTCTGAATTTTTAAAAGTCTTTACAAGCAATCAACTTCAGAAGGTTTGCCTCTACTAAATGTTTTTTTTTTTTTAAGTTGGGAATATCTCCACTCAGAATTTTTACTTATTCTGAGTTTTGTAAGCAGCTGCAGCAGAACTTAAGAATGTCTGTCTCCGCTAAATAGTTTTTATGGTTGGAAATACCTTTGTCAGGAATCCTGAAGTATATACTTCACATAAATATTAGAGTACTGTTTGCATAAATAGACATTAGAATGCCATATTTTCCAATTAAGTATTCTGTTGCAGTTCTGTTGTATGATATTCATAGAAAAGTGATACCTTAAAAATCATGTGGGCACAGCTCTGAAATATTTTATGTATTGCATTATGAAGCTTCCTCAAATCTCATTTCACCTGAGTTCCTGATCTTTTCTGATGCAATAGAAGTTTATAAAAGTGGTATTCTTTTTTTATTTTTATTTTTTATTGTACTTTAGGTTCTGGGGTACATGTGCAGATTATGAAGGATTGTTGCATAGGTACACACATGGCAGTGTGGTTTGCTGCCTCCATTCCCCCGTCACCTACATCTGGCATTTCTCTCCATGTTATCCCTCACCAACCTCCCCAGCCCCCTGCACTGTCCCTCCCTTGCCTCTCCCCCAAGAGACCCCAGTGTGTGATGCTCCCCTCCCTATGTCCAAGTGTTCTTATTGTTCAACACCAACCTTTGAGTGAGGACATGCGGTGTTTGATTTGCTGTTCTTGTGTCAGTTTGCTGAGAATATTGGTTTCCAGGTTCATCCGTGTCCCTACAAAGGACACAAACTCATCATTTTTATGGCTACATACTATTCCAGGGTGTATATGTGCCACATTTTCCTTGTCCAGTTTATCATCAATGAGCATTTGGGTTGGTCCCAGGTCTTTGCTATTGTAAACAGTGCCTCTGTGAACATACCTATGCATGTGTCTTTATAACAGAGTGATTTATAATCCTTTGGGTATATACCCAGTAATGGGATCACTGGGTTAAATGGAGTTTCTACTTCTAGGTCCTTGAGGGAGCGCTACCCTGTCTTCCACAATGGTTGAACTAGTTTACACTCCCACCAATAGTGTAAAAGTGTTCCTGTTTCTCCACATCCTCTCCAGCATCTGTTGTCTCCAGATTTTTTAATGCTTGCCATTATAACTGGTGTGAGGTGGTATCTCAGTGTGGTTTTGATTTGCATTTCTCTAATAATCAGTGATGATGAGAATTTTTTCATATGTTTGGTGGCCTCATATATGTCTTGATTTGAAAAGTGTCTGTTCATATCCTTCTCCCACTTTTGGATGGGTTTGTTTTTTTCTTGTAAATCTGTTTTAGCTCTTCGTAGATTCTGGATATTAGCCCTTTGTCAGATGGGTAGATTGCAAAAATTTTTTCCCATTCTGTTAGTTGCCAGTTCAGTCTGATGATTGTTTCTTTTGCTGTACAGAAGCTCTGGAGTTTAATTAGGTCCCGTTTGTCTATTTTGGCTTTTGTTGCCAGTGATTTTGGTGTTGTAGTCATGAAGTCCTTGCCTATGCCTATGCCCTGAATGGTTTTGCCTAGGTTTTCTTCTAAGGTTTTTATGGTGTTCGGTCTTATGTTTAAGTCTTTAATCCATCTGGAGTTAATTTTAGTGTAAAGTGTCAGGAAGGGGTCCAGTTTCTGCTTTCTGCACACTGCTAGCCGGTTTTCCCAGCACCATTAATTGAACAGGGAATCCTTTCCCCATTGCTTGTTTCTGTCCAGTTTGTCAAAGATCAGATGATTATAGATGTGTGGTGTTGCCTCCGAGGCCTTCTGTTCCATTGGTCTATAGCTCTGTTTTGATAACCAGTACAATGCTGTTTTGATTACTATAGCCTTGTAGTATAGTTTGAAGTCAGGTAACATGATGCCTCCAGCTTTGTTCTTTTTGCTTAGGATTGTTTTGGTTATGTGGGCTCTATTTGGTTCCATATGAAGTTTAAGGTGTTTTTTTCCCAGTTCTGTGAAGAAGGTCATAGGTAGCTTGATGGGGATAGCATTGAATCTATAAATTACTTTGGGCGATATAGCCATTTTCATGATTGATTCTTCCTAACCATGAGCATGGAATGTTTCTCCATCTGTTTGTGTCCTCTATTTCCTTGAGCAGTGGTTTGTACTTCTCATTGAAGAGGTTCTTTACATCCTTTGTTAGTCGTATTCCTAGGTATTTTATTCTCTTTGTAGCAATTGTGAATGGGAGGTTGCTCATGATTTGGCTCTCTGTTAGTCTGTTACTGGTGTATAGAAATGCTTGTGATTTCTGCAGTGATTTTGTATCCTGAGACTTTGCTGAAGTTGCTTATCAGTTTAAGGAGATTTTGAGCTGAGATGATAGGGTCTTCTAAATATACAGTTATGACATCTGCAGCCAGAGACAATTTGACTTCCTCTTTTCCTAATTGAATTCCCTTTTTTTTTTCTTGCCGAATTGCTCTGGCTAGAACTTCCAATACTATATTGAATAGGAGTGGTGAGAGAGGGCATCCTTGTCTAGTGCCAGATTTCAACGGGAATGCTTCCATTTTTTGCTCATTCAGTATGATATTGGCTGTTGGTTTGTCATAAATAGCTTTTATTGTTTTGAGATGTATTCCTTCGATACCTAGTTTATTGGGAGTTTTTAGCATAAAGGGCTGTTGAATTATGTCAAAGGTCTTCTCTGCATCTATTAAGATAATCATGTGGTTTTTGTCTTTGGTTCTGTTTATGTGGTGGATTACGTTTATAGACTTGCATATGTTGAACCAGCCTTGGATCCCTGAAATGAAGCCTACTTGATCGTGTTGGATAAGCTTTTTAATGTGCCGTTGCAATTGGTTTGCTAGTATTTTATTGAAGATTTTTGCATCTGTATTCACCATGGATGTTGGCCTGAAGTTTTCTTTTTCTGTTGAGTCTCTGCTGGGTTTTGGTATCAAGATGATGTTGGTCTCATAAAATGATTTGGGAAGGATTACCTCTTTTTGTATTGTTTGGAATAGTTTCAGAAGTACTGGTACCAACTCCTCTTTGTATGTCTTTAGAATTTGGCTGTGAACCCGTCTGGACCTGGACTTTTTTTGGTTAGTAGGCTATTAATTGCTGCCTCCACTTCAGCTCTTGTTATTGGTCTATTCAAGGTTTCAACTTCTTCCTGGGCTTGTGAGGGTGCAAGTGTCCAGGAATTTATCCATTTCTTCCAGGTTTACTGGTTTATGTGCATAGAGTTGTTTGTAGTAATCTCCGACTGTAGTGTGTATTTCTGTGGAATCAGTGGTGATTTCCCCTTTATCGTTTTTTATTGCATCTATTTGATTCTTATCTCTTTTCTTTTATATTAATCTTGCTAACGGTCTATTTTGTTGATCTTTTCAAAAAACCAGCTCCTGGATTTATTGATTTTTTTTTTTAAGGGTTTTTTGTGTCTCTATCTCCTTCATTTCTGCTCTGATCTTTGTTATTTCTTGTCTTCTGCCAACTTTTGAGTTTTTTTGATCTTGCTCCTCCCGCTTTTTCAGTTTTGACGATTGTCAATTTTAGATCTTTGATCGCTTCTCATGTGGTCATTTATTGCTATACATTTCTCTCTAGGCACTGCTTTAAATGTGTCCTAGAGATTCTAGTACGTTGTGTTTTCCTTCTAGGTTTCAAAGAACATCTTTATTTCTGCCTTCATTTCATTGTTTATCCAGTCAACATTGAGGAGCCAGTTGTTCAGTTTCCATGAAGCTTTGCAGTTCTGAGTTAGTTTCTTAATTCTGAGTTCTAATTTGATTGCACTGTGGTCTGAGAAACTGTTATGATTTCTGTTCTTTTGCATTTGCTGAGGAGTGATTTACTTCCAATTACATGGTCAGTTTTAGAGTAGGTGCCATGCAGTGCTGAGAAGAATGTATATTCTGTGGATTTGGGGTGGAGATTTCTGTAGTTGTCTATTACGTCCAGTTGGTCCAGATCTGAATTCACTTCCTAGATATCCTTGTTAATTTTTTGACTCGGTGATCTAATATTGACAGTGGAGTGCTAAAGTCTCCCACTATTATTGTGTAGGAGTGTAAGTTTTTTTGTAGGTCATTAAGAACTTGCCTTATGTACCTGGGTGCTCCTGTATTGGGTGTGTATATATATAGGATCATTAGTTCTTGATGCATTGATCCTTTTACCATTATGTAATGCCCTTGTCTCTTTGGATCTTCATTGATATAAAGTATGTTTTATAAGAGACTAGGATCGCAACTACTGCTTTTTTTTGCTTTCCATTTGCTTGATAAGTCTTCCTCCATCTCTTTATTTTTAGACTGTGTGTGTCCTTGCATGTGAGATTGGTTTCCTGAATACAGCACACTGATGGGTTTTTGACTTTTTATCCAATTTGTCACTCTGTGTCTTTTGATTGGGGCATTTAGTCCATTTAGATTTAAGGTTAATATTGTTATGTGTGAATTTGATCCTGCCATTTTGATGTTAGCTGCACATTTTGCCTGGTAGTTGACACATTTTTTTCACTGTATCGATGGTCTTTACCATTAGGTTCCTTTCCTTGTTTAGTGTGTCTTTCAGCAGCTCTTGTAAGGCAGGCCTGGTGGTGACAAAATCTCTCAGCAATTGCTTGTCCATTAAGGATTTTCTTTCTCCTTCGCTTATGAAGCTTAGTTTGGCTGGATATGAAATTCTAGGTTGAAAATTCTTTTCTTTAAGTATGTTGAATATTGGCCCCCACTCTCTTCTGGCTTGTAGGCTTTCTGCAGAGAGATCTGCTGTGAGTCTGATGGGCTTCCCTTTGTGGGTAACCTGACCTTTTTTTCTGGCTGCCCTTCGCATTTTTTCCTTCATTTCAACCCTGGTGAATCTTACGATTATGTGCCTTGGGGTTGCTCTTGAGGAATATCTTTGTGGTGTTCCCTGTATTTCCTGGACTTAAATGTTGGCCTGGCTTGCTAGGTTGGAGAAGTTCTCCTGGATAACACCCTGAAGAGTGTTTTCCAGCTTGGATTCATTCTCTCTGTCACATTCAGAAACACCTATCAAACGTAGATTAGGTCTTTTCATATAATCCCATATTTCTTGGGGGCTTCGTTCATTTCTTTTCATTCTTTTTTCTCTAATCTTGCCTTCTTGTTTTATTTCATTGAGTTGATTTTCAATCTCTGATATCCTTTCTTCTGCTTGGTCAATTCGGCTGTTGAAACTTGTGCATGCTTCGCGAAGTTCTCATGCTGCGTTTTTCAGCTCCATCAAGTTGTTTGTATTCTTCTCTAAGATATTTATTCCAGTTAGCATCTAATCCAACCTTTTTTCAAGATTCTTCGTTTCTTTGCATTGGGTTAGTACATGTTCTTTTAGCTCTTAGAAATTTGTAATTACCTACCTTCTGAAGCCTGTTTCTGTCAGTTCTTCTGATTCATTTTCTATCCATCTTTGATTCATAGCTGGTGAGGAGTTGTGATCCCTTGGAGGAGGAGAGGCATTCTGGTTTTTTGTGTTTTCATCCTTTTTGCACTGGTTTCTTCCCATCTTAGTGGCTTTATCTACCTATGGTCTTTGTAGTGGGTGACTTTCGGATGGGGTCTCTGAGTGGCCGTCCTTTTCGTTGATGTTAAAGCTATTTCTCCTTCTTAGTTTTTCTTCTAACAGGCCCCTCTGCTGCCCGACCACTGGAGGCTCACTCCAGACCCCGCTTGCCTGGGGATCACCCGCAGAAGCTGCAGAACAGCAAAGGTTGCTGCAGGTTTCTTCCTCTGCTATCCTCATCCCAGAAGGGTACCTGCCAGATGTTGGCCTGAGCTCTCCTTTATGAGATGTCTCTTTGCGTATATGGGGGTCGGGGAGTTGCTTGAGGAGACAGTCTGTCCCTTATAAGGAGCTCAAGTGCTGTGCTGGGAGCTCCGTTGTTCTGTGCAGAGCTGCTGGGTAGGTACCTTTAAGTCTGCTGCAGCTGAACTCAAAACCGCCTCTTTTCCCAGGTGCTCTATCCTAGGAAGGTTGGTTTTATTTATAAGTTTCTGTCATGGTGCTGCCGGTTTTCATAGATGCCCTGCCCTGCACAGAGTAGTCTAGTCACAGTCTGCCAGCAGAGGTGTTGCTGAGCTGCCACAGCCTCTGCACAGCTGCTCTGTGAATTGCATCGGTAGTGGCTGACTGCCTTGGTAGTGGTGGTCGCTCTTCCCCCGCCACTGAGCTGGACTGTCCTGGGTCCAGCTGCGCTTGCTGCGAAACTCTCAATCCAGAGCTTTTCAAATTGCTTGTTTTGTGGGGATGGTATCTGCCAAGCCAGATCACCTGGCTCCCTGTCTCTGCCCTCTCCCTTTCAGTTGAATGGGCGGCTCTGTCTCCAGGCATTCCAGGCGCCAGTCAGAACAGCCACCCAGACTTGTGTGTTTCTGTGTGTCGACCTGGCACCGGCTGAAACCACTGCACTGAAAACTCATGGCGTTTTTTGGCCTGGGAATCTCCTAGTCTGTGGGCAGTGAAAACTTGTTTGGAAATGCAGTGAGCACTCACCCTCTGTGCTGTTCTTGCTGGGAACTGCACTCTGGTGCTGTTCCTATTCAGCCATCTTCTCCATACACTTTTTTTCAAAAGTGGTATTCTAAAACTATATTGGATTTCATTAAAACAGTTCTCTTTAGATTTATTGATATAGTAATACATTTGATCTGCCTCACCATAAAAGCATATTTCGATTATTTTCCAAACATAAAACAAAGGATTAACAATTCTTTGAACAAATTAAACATTGCTATTTCACATATACACATGTATACTTACATAATTTTAAAAACATTTATGTTCTAAAAGTCATCTTTGCAGAACATTATCTCTCTGCATTATCCAAAAAGTATGGTGTATTTTGACACCTCTCAGTTTTAACTTTGTTTCTTGTTTTGCTTCCTTTTATAAAGGACTCTACATCAACTGATGATATGTGGTAAAATTGCTCATCTAGCCATGGAGTTTACCTTCACCTCCAAAGGAGAGTACAGCTCAACTTTGTTGAACCTTTTAACATCCATCCTCAACTTTAAGGAAGGGGATATGACATGGGTGAGAATTATTACATCAGAGAACTTCAGCAGTACAACAGCTAGCCCAGAACTGATTTTTTTTTGTAAATTTGAGACTTACGTAAACGTGATTTCAAACCATAATTCATGTTGTAAATCAGACTCCAGCAATTTTTGTTGTATGATTTTGTTTTGTTTTGTAAAGTGTAATTGTCCTTGTACAAAATGCTCATATTTAATTATGAACTGCTTTAAATCACAGTTACAAGAAATGTTTGGCTTATTGTGTGATGCAACAGATACATAGCCCTTTTAAGTCATGTTGTGTTTGGACTTGGGGTTGGAACAGAGAGAGCAGCAGCCACGTCAGCTAGACTCTCAAATGTGCACAATTATGGAAAATAATCTCAAAATCTTACAAAGCTGGACAGCCAAGGAGTTACTGAAAACTATCTTAAATGTTCTTGGTAGGGGAGTTGGCATTGTTGATAAAGCCAGTCCCTTCATTTAACTGTCTTTCAGGATGTTCCTTCCTTGTTTCCATGAGTATTGCAGGTAAATAATACAGTGTATTCATACGAATCTCAATCTTGGGGCTAAATGCCTTGTTTCTTTGCACCTTTTACAAGTCCTTACATTTAATTACTAATTGATAAGCAGCAGCTTCCTACATACAGTAGGAAACTGCCACATTTTTGCTATCATGATTGGCTGGGCCTGCTGCTGTTCCTAGTAAGATATTCTGAATTCCATTTTATCAATAAAGCTTGATTTAACAAACAAGAAGTTTAATTATGTATGTGTAATTCCTCTTTTACCCCGGCCTTTTAAAACACTGTGCCATTTTAATGAGATGTTTTCATAGGGAAAGATGTTAGTCTCTTTTAATTGGACAACACTGTTACTCAAGGCATAGATGAAACTGTTTCCTTCTATTAGAAAAACTAAAAAGTTTAAGTCTCAATTGTTTCTTGATCTGTTTTTTAAATTGGTTTCTGTCAGGCTGCTTATTTTTCATTAAGATGTGTATCAGCTTGGATTTACCTACTGTTTAATTAAAATAATTGTCAAAGTTTGACAATCTTAACACTCTGTGGTAGGTGTGTGTGTGTGTTTGTGAGTGTGTGTTTGCCTGTGATTTTAAATTGGCCCATGTCTTTAGAATCCAAGTGGTTAAGATGTATTTGTGATTTGAAATATAGCATGTTGATAATATTTAGACGTTGGCCTTTACAAATAACTTTCAAAGCTTAAGGAATTGTAGATATAAAAATAACCTAATTTAATTTAGGCTTAAATTCCTCTGATTAAGCATGTGAAAGTAAGTTTTAAAATCTGTCACATTGAAAAGAGTACTGTTTGTGTCCTTCTGTATTTTTGAGTCCTAGGTTGAATATTGTATTTATCACCATGTAATTTAATTATTCAGTAGGCAGATTCCCACTAGAAAACTATTAAAATGTAAGACTAAAAATACAACATTGAATACAAAATCAAACCTTTGTGTATAAAAACTAGCATATTCCAATTTGTTACATTTGTTTTTTCCCTAACTTGGAAATATACATATTTGTATATATAGCCTTACATTAATTAATGTAAAGTTAGGGGAGTAGTGGGGAAAGTAATGTGAAATGTCTCAGATTTAAGTAGTTATATGCCAGCAAAATCTTTTTATTATCCCTCTTATTTTGTGAGGTGATTAAATGTAACTTAATTGTATTTAATTTATATCTTATTCCAGCATGAATGAGGAAAAACTGAAGTACTATTTATATTTAGACACTCATATCAGTTGAAATTACAGAACCAATTCCGTACTTACAATAAATACTTAATGTCAATCTGTGGTAGAGTGCAAAGTATGATAATGTTCTAAGTTATGGCTTTGCAAGCATCTAAATGTGCACCTAATGAATACCAGTGCTTTTAGTATAGACTAATTACCAGACATACTGGTACTGAAAGCCAAATCCCTATTGTAACAAGTCAGTTCCTTAATTTTTTAAGCAGACTGATAATTTTAATTCTAGAAATTGCAAAACTTTGAACTGGACTGTGTAATCTTTTGAGATGCAAAACTTAAATCACAAGTAGAGTATGTGATGGAAAGCTGTATTTCAAACTGTAACAGCATAGAGCCTTTTTTTTTAGTCTTTAAACAAAAAACAGAAAATTAAAATATTCCTCTCAAAATAATTATTGAAAACTGTATTTGAGTGATCTAAGAAGACTAAATCTTTTCCACATCAATCAGCACTGCCATACTAATAATTTTTTTACTATAAAAATACAGGAAGGAAGTATACATGGTAACAGCAGACTGTGTGTGTGTGTTCCTGATTCCTGGAGGTAATGGTGGGGGAAACTAATCATACTTTTTAAAGGCACTTTTGCACCTCTATTGTGCACTTCATTCTTGTACCACTTAAATTCTTCACCTTCATCCCCCTTTTTTGTGCTAATTAGCATCTCAGGGCAATGCCTCAAAAATGTTTGATGTGTTCTGTTCTTTGGAGGGAAAAAGTTTTTGTGTAATGATAATGTAGTACTCAAAATATGCTTTTATCATTTAAATGTCTTATTTGCTGCTATGAATAGGAAATAACATTTTGTGTAGCAGGCTCTGTTTTACCCTAACATTAAAACATTTCACAGATCTTTCATTGTTTTAACAGGGTAGAATCTCCTAATTTCCACTTTCTTGGGAATAGACAATAGAAGCAGTTCTCAATATTAACATTTACTTAAAAAATTCAAAGTAATAATTCAGCTTTAGAATATGTCAGACATTTTTACTTTATAGTATATTAACTTGCTTCTAGAGTACTTAACGCAGCTGCTCTAGCCACTTAATTTTTTATGCTAATCTCAACATTAAGAAATTTGGATTAAGTAATAAATTAGTTATATAATTCAAGTAATCTGAATTACAGCAGTAGTTGTAATAATCATCCATATGACCATAGATTAATTCATCTAGTAACTCAGTTTTACAAAATGTTTCAAGTATTATCTGTAAAACACTGTTCTAGGCTAAGCACCTTGGGACTGTAAAGAAATGAGTAGATCCTTGGCTTCAAGTTTACATTTGGGCAGAATTTATAATCTAGTGTATGTTAGTATTATAACTGGGTCACTCATCAAAAAAGAAAAAGCTATTGCCCACCTGTTATCTCCAGGTTCTTAGCTGATCAAGGCAGGCTCCTCCCCTAAGGAGCTTGTTCATACTTCCTTTACTCACCTAAAAACTCATCTCCAGTTTTTTTCCTTCTCTCTAAAATTAATCATTCAGAAGAAAATTTTGCTTAGCATAAGGATAAAATGGGACTGGAGAGGCTTAAGCCCATTCTGTATGCTTAATTGCATTTATTGAACGGCCTTTATTCTTCCTGCTGACAGCAGTAACTCAGAGGAATAGGTAGATTTCTGAAAATTCTCCAGCCATGGAAATGCAGGTGGGGTTTGAGTTTAAGGCATTTAAAAATGTAAGTATCTCTAGCTAAATTTATCTTAAGTAGAACTCTGTGTTTTTGTAATACACTGACATTGTTAACCTCCAATTTTAGCCAAATGATTCCTGTGTGTTTTAACATTTTAAAATAATTTCACTGCCCATCTTTATTGGACAAACTCATCGAGGCGTTCAACTTGTGATTTCTGAAAGAACTGATGAAATTGGGTACTGCTTTTTTTTCTCCATTTTTTTTGTTTTATTTTAATTTTGAATTTCATGGTGTATACTTTTAGTTCAAAATTGGCTATTTGTACAGTATTGTATTAGGATTTGTATTAGAAAAGATGTGTAAATATTTTAGTATATAACTGTTTTCTTATTTTAGGTTTTTTTTGCTAAGGGACCTTAAAGAGTTTTATATACTTTTGCTCACAGATACTGCTAGTGAGATTACCATTTTTTAATTGAATATCTAGTCTTCTAGTTTTTCTTTTAGGTATTAGGAAGCCTTCTTTAGAGTTCAAAATTTTAGAAGCCTAATTTGATCGTATTTCCTTCAATTATGTGCCATGTGTTTTGGTTTGTATATGTTTTAAATTGTATATTACCTTGGAATATGCTTGAAATATTTAAGAATACATTTTTAAAATGTATAATACTGTGTTGTTTTGTTGATCAAAATAATAAGTCTCAGTTAAATGTTATTACTGATAGTCAAAACACTCAATAGAAATGATGAGAGGCATTGGTTCCAACTCATTGTCAAGTGAACATTTTCTAATTTTGTTGACAGTTCTTTCCCTTTCAGTTCTATATATTAAGATAGTGGCTTCTCTCACGATTTTCCTGTTTATATTACTACTAGCAGGTAAGAGTGCTAATTAGAAAAACTTAGATGGTACTGAAATTGCAGTTGACAACTTACATTTTTATGAGACGGAGAAAAAGGATGTTTAAGTTGATATAACAACAAAGTTGTCATTTTTTTCTTCCTTATTTTGCACAAAATGTCCTCGTTTCCTCTGCTTTCCTCTTGGTGTTCTCTTTTTTTCGAATGGAAACAGGCCAATTCCATTTTCTTGAGCAAGAAAGCTTAGTGCATTACTTCATCAAGGCCAGTTAATACTGTGTTAAACTGGGCTGAAAACGAGAAAACTTGGGAGATGGAGGAATGGGGAAATGGCAGTGGGATAGGTAGGGAACAATTACTCTTATTTGTTTTAAAAGCCATAGGAGTCTTCCCTGTATCTGGCTATAAATTTTTAAGAACTATTGTGTCACATAAACCAGCAAGAATCAACCTTTGCTGCTTCCGATAATTTGATTTTTTTCAGCAAGGAAAATAATAAAAGTTACTGATTCTTCAGCAAGGAAATAATAAAAGTTACTGATTCTTCAGCATAGAATCAGCTAAGAAGAATTAATGCAATATTTCTTCACTACAAAACCCAACCCTTCATTTCTTTTCATTGCTCCAAAACCCAATTTTCAACTAATGGTTTTCTCATTAAACTAAATGTTTAGAAAAATTGTTTAGAGTTTTCATTTTTTCTTTTACATAGTCCTTCTGATTCAGTATAAGACATTTAGTAACATTTGCATTTGTATGTTACTATCTAAAATAAGTTAAATTGATGTAAGAGATTGGGTAGCTGCAGAACAAAATTAGTTATATCCTAATTAGGTACAGTGAATGGCACAAAATCATTTTAGCAATGCTTTTTAACCGTTTGGGGTCACAGGCCCTTTGAGTCTGATGAATCCTAGGGACACCTTTACCCAGGAAAATGCATATATAATATATATATCTCCCTGAAGTTTACAATATTGTAGTGATTCATGGGTCCCCAGTTAAGAGCCCATTCTAAAGTACAATAAAGCATCATCCCTTTTCCTGTGAAGCCCATAAATATATTTCAAGGGCATGTAAATAACTTGAGTCCATTTTAAGAAATTGTTTCACTGTTTAAAAGACAGATGAGGTAGATAGGGGGCCTGGCTAGAATCTGACATTAAAATACACTTAAAAATATATATATTTGGAGGGGAAAAGTGATTAAAAGGTGAAAAAAAACGAAGTATTCAGAGGTTTTGGAGATTAATATCTTTCTCTAAGATCTGCCACTTTGGAAATTCAACAGAAAAGCAGTAAAACAGAAACTGAATGTTATCTGGAACATTTTTGGCCTCCACAGTGCAGATATACTATGTTAACAAGTCACACATTTACCTCTCAGATCTCCAGGTTTTAAGATTTTGAGCTTTCTAGTATTAGAATTCATTAAATGTTTAATTCATTTCATATTCTAAGGAATTAGGTATTTACTTA